GAGAGAGAGAGAGAGAGAGAGAGAACAAGGATTCTTCATTCTATCTTCATTTATTCTTCTTCATCTTCTTCTTCTTCTTCTTCTTCCTCTTCTCCTCCTCGATTTTTCAGATAAGCGGCAGCTACAGATGCACCCCGTGCGACTTTTGGTGCGAGGAAAACGAGGCTATGGAGTGTCATCTGCTCGACCCGAGCCACCGAGACGTGGTCTCGATGATGAACGGCTCGGTGCCGATCATGATAGGGCGGCAACGGGGCCTGCCGTGCGCCGGTTGCGACCGCCGGTTTCGTTACAACTTGCAGCTTCGTATACACGCGAAGGAGACGGGCCACGAGGAGAGTTTGACGGCGAGCGACGAGTATCAGCAACGGATGAAGTGCAAGCTGTGCCCGCGGGTAGTGAGGTCGTTGGTGGCGCTTCAACGCCACCAACTGTCCTGCCACGCGGCGAAGACGGCGAAGGGGGGCGGCGAGGGCGGCACGGCCCCCCCTTTTTGCCCGTTCTGCTCGATGAACTTCGCCACTGCGAGGGAGGCTGTTCTCCATCGAAGGACGTCCAGCCACAAAGAGGTGGTGAAGGCTCGGAAGAGTAGCGGGGGCGCGACGGCGGCCGCCACGATCGGTCGACAGGGCCCCCATTGCGAGGAGAAACAGGCGAATTTGTCGGACCACAAGAGCCATCTTCTCGATCGTCATCCAGAGCTTTGTTACAGGCGAGCGATTTCACGAGTATCTTTTCGTAGATACACTTTTCCTTTCTAATACAAATAATTATCTTTCTTGAATCACTGTGGTGTGAATCGAGAATTCTTAAACAATCTTAAATATTTATATTGCTTCCATAATACTTCTTCTCATGTCGTGCATACGTTCTCCCGGGTTTCCAGATGTCCGAGATGCGGCACGCTTTTCGCCCTGTCCCAAGACGTGACCAGGCACACGAGGGAGAACAAGTGCCAGGAGGAGGACGAGGGGACGAAGGCGAAGGGTGGCGAGGGGTGGAGGTGCGGGGAGTGCAGTTTCTCGACCGATTCCCGGTCGGAGTTCATCTTCCACGAGGCCCTTCACGCGGGCCCCGTGAATCCGTCGGGGGCGCCTGAGAGAGCGGGGCCCGCCAGGCCGTTGGCCAAGTACTCCTGCCCCGTGGGCAAGAGGGCGTTCGCCAAAGTGTCGTTGCGGAATCACATCAGGAGTCACACGGGGGAGAGGCCGTTTCCTTGCGCCAAATGTCTGGCCCCCTTCTCGAGGAGATCCGACCTGAACGCCCATCAGAAGGAGTGCACGGGGTCGTCCGGATGGCCGGATGGCGGGTCGTCCGGGAGGAAGCGCGGTTTCGCCTGCTCCGAGTGCAACAACGCTTTCTACACGAAGTAAGAGCATATACATACACATATACACATACACACGTTAAGAAGCTTATCGATGATCGATAATTTTAAACGATCGGGCGCGCAGTAAAAGTAATTGCTCGTGTATCCTCCCTGTGATGACGTACAGCGAGCGTTGTATCGTGACAACAATGGAGAGAGGGAGAGGGGAGGCCCTTAAGACTTAAGAAAACTTGCCGCGTTTATCCGGCCAACAACAAAAGGATCGCATTTATCAACCGGATGGATATCCAGTTAGGTACAATTATATATATATATCGATCGTGGATCCATACTCTCGTGCTCGGTTTCCCTTTACCTTTCACCGGGCCCGTTCATCTTTCAAGTTTACCTTAACCCGCGAATGCGTTAACATGGGTCAGAGGGGGGTAATATCGTAAATAAATTCAGCCCCAAAAGTGGGCATTGAGAAATAATACGGGAGGCTCTGCCGATATTCCGAGCGAAGATCGTTCGACTTTTCTTTTCCCGACCGAAAAGGGGAGGGTAAGAGAGAGAGAGAGAGAGAGAAGAGGTGTCCTCGTCGCGAAAAGTATAGGAAGAAAGAGAGGAGCGGGGAAGGGAGGGGAGTGGGAGGGGAGGAAAAGGAGAGGGATGGAGTTCTCCTCTCGTATTAACATCTCGTACAGCGCGGCCCCTGTAAGCCCACGGGTCATTCCGGCGTTTAATGGGCTTGCATTATGGTCCGTGCAAGTATACGCGTACACCCACCATACGCGTACCAACCAACGTAACTGGAGAAACTTGCGCTTGTGCTAATGCTTCGTTACGCTAGCGAAATTACTAGCCCCGGATTAACGCCCCGTGGGCCCTATTAAAAATTGCGATCTGTGTGCCTGCGCGCCAAATGCCAATTCGAACAACCGATTTCGGAAAGGGAGCAAATGTAAAGCAAACGTCAACGCTTTTCTTTCCTTTTTTTCTTTCTCTGTCTTTCTCTCTCCTTTCTTTCCGGAATACTTTCGATATCGGAAACGACGAAGGATGTCACCGCTTTTCTTTCCTTTTCTCTCTCTCCCTCTCTCTCTCTCCTTTATTTCCTTTTTTGTTTCTCTTTCTTTCCTTTTTTTCTCTCTCTCTCCTTTCTTTCTTTTTTTCTCTCTCTCTTTCCTTTCTTTCCTTTTTTCTCTCTTTCTCTCTACTTTCTTTCCTTTTCTCTCTCTCTCTCTCTCCTTTCTTTCCGGAATATCTTCGGTATCGGAGACGACGAGGGATTAGATGACGATCGTTGTCAGCTTCCAATGATCTCTGACGTATCATTCGCGTCGAACGTCGAAACTTGCTTTCTGCCTCGGATCCGCAATTAGACTTTCTCCCAGCTTCATTTTCGTGGAAAATGGAGGGGCCGTTCGCTCGCGTCAGTTGTCGCCAATGTCGAATCCAAACTCTATCTCTCTCTCTCTCTCTCTCCCCGGAGAAGAGGAAACGGAGACAATTTAGCAAGAAGCGTTTCCCCGAAACTTTGTGCCGCCCGCTTCCCCGGATGCAACAAACTGTTATCATCGATTATAACCAACCCTGTATATATATATATATATATATATATCTGTCAGAGATACAGATTTTGATTTCCAAACTTCTCGTTCGTCGTTTTCGCGGTCTTCCATTGGAAAATTGCGAAGAAACAACGCGAGAGAGAGAGAGAGAGAGGGATAGGAGAAAGGAAGGAAGAAGGAGAAGAGGGATAATTACGGGAAGACGGGCAGCTCCCGCGCATTCGATCGACCCTAACCAATTCTCAGAATAAGCGGGCAATTCTCTCGATGTATGCGCATATTCAAGATAGTATGTTACATACGCGAGCCCGCTGACCGTACGTTTCGCCCCTCGTCGTTCGCCCCCCTCCCTCACCTCGGGCAACCCCCTGCCCGTCCCCCGGCACGGACGATGCTCGATGTACGTACGCGAGGCTCCCCACAGGTATTTACATATATGGACCGCGGCGTGGCTGCCGCGTATCTTTTATCTTCCGCGGCAGTAATGGCGCGCGTCCACCTCCTTCGTAAACCCCGGTCAGGTAAACGCCGTAAAGATAGGCATACTGGGCGAGATTGGCGTAACCTCGCGGCCCGGTTTGACGATCCTATCCTCCTCTCTCTCTCCCTTCCTTCCCTTCCTTCGTCCTTGTTCGAGCTNTTAAACCGTTTATCCGCCGATAAAACGCGTCGCTACCACCGTCACACAATTGTCCACCAGACAGTTTTTCCAAAACTGTCTGGATCGAGGCCTTGGAGAAATTGAGGAAAGGAAGGGGGAGAAGAGAGATAATGACGAGACCTTAGGAAAGTTAATTCGAACGCGAGGCATGTTCGAGGATCGAGGCGGTGCATAAATCTCGCCGGATCACGGTAAATTTAGAGAGGAGGGTTCGAGAGGAGGGGAAGCCCCTCTCTCTCTCTCTCTCTCTTTCTTATCTACCATTGTTCTGGACCACGGCAGCAGCGCGTGGTTTGCGTATCGTTTCCTCTCACCTCGGACGGGGCTACTAATGAGGCACGGTGTCGACTTTACGGATCACCCCGTACGAGGCACCCCCTCACGCGTCCGGCCCCTGCGTATCCCTCTCCCCCCCTCGGGGGGGAGAGGGATACGCGCCACTGTCGAGAGGGGAGGAAAGAAGGAGGAGGGAAGGATTTCTGCATGCCTCCCCCTCCCCCCTTAAGGAACAATGCGACGACGGCGAGGACGCTGTTGCACCGCATTCGTCGCGTTCGAATGTATTAGTGAGGTGTCTCCACCCGTGCGCGCATTGTGCCGCGCTTTTGTGTTTCCTTCTCCTCTTCGTCCGTGTGGGAATGGCGTGGCCGGTGGTAGCGTTGCGATGCGGTACGGTTCGGGTATGGTGGCACGCGGTAAGCACGGCCCCCGTATGCAGACAGTTTAGCGGTGGCCGCCCCGCGAGTCCAGTTGTCGCGTGAAATATTGCGATTCATAAAATAAAACAGGCCTGCGGTCGAGGACGCGTAGATATAGCCGCAGGCTGCTAACCCAGACCTAACCCCTCCCCTCCTCCATCCCCATCTCCAGCCTCTTTTCGAAACGCCGCATCCCCCCGAGCTGACCTTTTTTTTTTCTTCCCCTCCTCCTTCTTCTTCTTCTTCCTCCTCCTCCTCTTCTCGTTCGTCCAACCACCTCCGTCCATATCCATCCGATATGCGATACTCTTACTCATACGTCACTCGCTCTTATTTGCGATCTCTTTCCTTTCCTTTCCTTTCCTCCTCGATAACGGTTCCTCGATAGCAGTTCGGCGGTATGCTCGGTGGACCGCATGAAATTTTTCGCCTCTG